GGTTTCAAAACTTGCATCATACACGTTAGACCTGAGACATTTGCCCGGAAAAGCGAATGTGGTAGCAGACGCTTTGAGCTGTGACCCTTTTGTTAAGACGATTGGGCAGAGACTGTTGAATGAACCGTATTCTTCGTTAATGCGGGAAGCCAGTGGAGCGAGCGAAGACTGTGTTCACAATGTTTTCAGGCTCAGTAGCCAAGTTCAGTTCAATCAGCCCATGAGGAGTTTTTCACAAGGAGCAGGCTTTGACATGGATGAAATCAGAGCTCTTTGTCAGTCTCACTGCAGTTGGACAGATGGAGCAGAGTCCAGAGCCCTTCATTTAGTCCACCATGTTCAGAAGATTTCAGGTTGCCAGGAAACTTTACCAGTGTTCTCTGCCCAGGAGCTTAGACAAAGCCAACAGGAAGACCCATCAATAGCCAAAGTGTTGTCATTTCTGACTAAACCGAGACGTTCATCGAGAAGAGAAAGACATGGTGCCAGTGCCCAAGTGCTGAGACTGTTAAAACAGTGGAATAAGCTGGAAGTTAGAGATGATGTGATGTACAGAGTGACGAAAGATCCTTTGTCTAAAAAGAAAAAAGATTCCAGTATGTGCTGCCTGGTAGTCTGAAAAACACAGCTCTTTCTGGTATTCATGACCTGACAGGCAATCAGGGGCAGGACCGCACTCTCTCACTTGCGAGACAGCGTTTTTATTGGCCTGACATGGAAAAGAACATAAGAGAATATGTGAAATGCTGCCAAAGGTGTGTTTTTGCGAAGTCCCCAGAACCTTCTGCTCGTGCCCCTTTGGAGAACATCATGAGCTCGGCCCCAATAGAGTTGGTGTGCATAGATTTCTGGTCAGCAGAAGACGGTAAACAGCATTCAGTGGATGTCCTCGTAGTTACCGACCATTTTACTAAACTCGCTCATGCATTCCCTTGCACCAATCAAACGGTTCCTCCCTCATCAGACTTACTCTGCACTGATTCCTCATCGCAAGCTGATGCACATACTCTTACCAAGCTTGTTAAACCTGTTAAAACAAGAGTGAGAAGAATAGCTAAATCTGTAAACAGGTTGATTGAATCTATGGTGCAGATACCAGTTTTAAGAGTTCAAGAGGTTTAAACTGAGAATTGATTTCAGAATTTTTAGAGATTTGAGGTGCCAACGGTGTTTATGATAAATGTCAAGTTTAATAGGGCCAAGTGCTGTGTGGCGTATTAGGCGTCACATTAACTTAAGGGGAATATGAGACTTGATCAACCTCCTATTTAAACCGGAAGAAGGTCACCTGATAACACAGTCACCAGTTAACCGTAAGAAGAAATTGTTGAATAAAGTCACTATTTTTGTTCTCTTCACGCACAAAAAGTATTCTTGTAGCTTCATGACATTACGGTTGAACCACTGATGTCACATGGACTATTTTAACGATGTCCTTCCTACGTTTCTGTGTCTTGAATGTGGTAGGACCCTTGCTGTCTATGAAGGGTCAGAAAGCTCTCAGATTTCATCAAAAATATCTTAATTTGTGTTCCAATGATTAACGAAGAGCTTGTAACGACAGTAATTAATGGGAGAATTTTCTTTTTTGGGTGAACTATCCTTTTAAGTCCGTACAGTATAATGTCAGCGTTACTTCTCTGAATGATGTTACGATGCATTTATTTTTCTTGAGCTACATCCATTTCAGACGCACAAATTCTGTGGCGTTTTACAGTTTCCATAGGAGTAAAATGTTATGTACATATTATTAATTTCAGTGGTGGACGAAGTACACAAATCAAGTACTTGAGTAAAAGTACAGATCCGTATAATAAAATATTACTCCAGTAAAAGTACTCAGTTTTTAATTTTACTCGAGTGAAAGTACAAGTGTACTTGTTTTTTTGTACTTAAGTAAAAAGTACCGATAGATGAATGATTATTTTGCAGTTTTATATAGGCTACTTTTATAGCATATAGCATATATTTTTTTATAATCCTACTGCTCAAAATACCTGGGATTTTCCCAAAATAACCAATAAGGAAATAATGAATATAATAAGGAAAATATAGTTAGATTTTCATAATGATTTTTTTCTTCTGAAACCTTGTCTGTGGTGTAAAAACACCCCTGGCCAAATGCCCCCAAAGGGCTTCACTTCCCACTTTGATAATTACTGTAGCCATGTTCTGAACATCACATCCTTTATTTTCCCTCAGATGTAATCTATCTAGGTAATTGAATAAAAATATTTGGACTTTATTTTTTTAAAAATACCTCAATTTAGCACCAGCAAGATCGTTAGATAGACAGTTAGCATCAGCTAACATTATTGACTTATTTTCAGCATGGTTATGAATAAACAATTATATTTGTCTACTCGGCTAGTTTATCCAGATACATAGTAACTTAGGCTATGTGTGCTCACAAACAATATAAAAACAGACGTCACATAGGGCTAAATGCATAGCATTTTTGTAAAACTGCTAACATTACAGCAGCGGGGAAGATTAACGTGCATGAGTTATTTTATTTAATCTGTGTTATTTTAATGTTTTTTGACCTAAAACATAGAGACTCTGATGTTGATGTGTCTGCATTCAAGCATTTCAGTTGGCTCAAATAGATCACCCTTTACAGCAGATTTAGTTCACAAACAACTGACAGCTTTGACCTAAATATAATTTTCAGTTACAATAATTAATCCTAAAATTCGACATTAGTAACTTACATTTAACAGCATCAGATGTGTGCGCACGCGCTCACAAGATCTCCCGGTTCTTACTTGTGAATTCAGTTCACTGGAGACTCGCTCTAAATGGTTCATTTGAATCAGTGAGTTGTCAACTCGAGAACAGTTGCAATCGGATCATTCCAATTCGTGAATGAATCTTTTGGTGCGATTTGCGAACCGATTTAACGGGTTCACTCAAAAGAATCAGTTCGTTCATGAATCAGACACCGCTTCTGCGTCTCGGAGCACGTGATATATTATAAGGAGTAACAATATGTTTTATTAAATGTAGTGAAGTAAAAAGTACGATCTTATGCTTTGGAATGTAGTGAAGTAAAAGTAAAAGTTACTCAAAATAAAACTACTCCACTAAAGTACAGATACTTGAAAAATTTACTTAAAGGTACAATAGGAAATCTTGGAAAATGCTAACTTTAGCCTGATAGCACTGAAAGCGTTCGTCCCACCCTCCCCTGCAATCGCGTCCAAAGCCACACCCCCTGAACGCATTTACACTCACAGACCAGAGACAACATTACTACAATAGGCTACATCAGGTTCCCAATTCCAGCCCATGTTCTGAAGTGAAGTAAACTTCAACGGATTTCCCCCGCTCAGGGAGTAGGGAGCAATGAACTCTGTGTAGGGATCAAATCGATCGGAACACAGTTCATGCACGGAGCTCACTTCTAACGAGGCGCGAGGACTGGATTAACTGCTGGGCTACATCATGTGTCATTCACCTGTGAGAAATCTTTAAAAGTACTACAATACCAGGAAGGAAGATCGGGTTGTTGATGTTTGCCTGCCATCCTCGCTCTGTCTGCACAGCGTGCGTGAACACGCTGATGACGTATCCTGTCTGCGCGAACTGGGTGCGCAGAGGTATGCTAATACATACGTTGACAGGCAGGTAGGAAAGCATATTAAAACGCTCGGACCGAGCGTTTTGATTAGACGAACATTGCTTGATCCTACACCTTCCACAGAGTATATAAATATAGACAAATACATTTAGACCACTTAACTTAATGATTGCTATCGGGATGTGAAGAGACTTTCAACCAGCATAACAAAAAATGTTTCTGAAGACAATCACCTATTGCGCCTTTAAGTACACCACTGATTAATTTAACCAACATTTAAATAATTAAAGGGTTAGTTCACCCAAAAACGAAAATTAGGCTGCGTTTAACTCACCCCCGAGGCATCCTAGGTGTATATGACGTTCTTCTTTCAGACGAATCCAGTCGGAGTTATATTAAAAATGGTCTTTGATCTTTCAAGCTGTTTCATGTCACTCAGCGGATGTTGCCTCGGAAGTCAAACTCAATCGAAAATAAAATTAGATTAATCACTAAAGTACAAGAGAGATCTCGCTTCTGTAAAATAACGAAAATGCATCAGTGACAAATGTTTTGATATCATCACATGTAGAAACGGTTGGTAAGATACAGTTATCTTGATAATATTTATGTTGCAATAATACATTGTAAGCGTATTTCCTTAATTTCCTCAGCACCAAAAGCAGAACAGTTAACATTAGAGCTTATCAATACTACAGTTTATCATAATTCAGCCCCAGGCCCGTTTAATACCGGGTTCAGGTATTCATTCCTACTTATAAGAGAAGCAAAGAAAGATCAGTTAAAAAGCTACATGACAGTATTTCTTGCATCTGCGTTTCCTAAATACATCTTAAGTGGAAGAATAGCTCAGTCATTTTTAAAAACAACAATGAAAAACAAATTAAAATGAAATCTCAGTCTCTCTTAAAGGTCTTACAGCCTCTTCTCCAGCTTCCTGAAAAAATAACTGTTTGTAAAAAGCTTCTACTTTCCTTCATGAAAGAGTAAGCAAACTACAGGTGCTTACACATGCATTATAAGACAATTTAACATAATATGACACTTATAAGAAAGACAAATTATACACAAGAATACACCTTTCTGACATTGTTCTTTGGGGAGGAACTCCATCTTTGAGTTGATCTGAATCTCACAGTAGAATCTGCTGGTTTTGAAGATGAACTTTATTCACTATGAAACTTTAGATAATGTTTCTTTGTCATGTCACTTGTAATGTCTGGTTAGGACAGATTTATCCAGATGATATTTTATTGTTTGATGCATTATTGTGTCTCATTTGGTAAGGACGCAGCATCAGATCTGAAAGTGCTGATCTGAAGATGATCTACTTACTGTGATTGCTTTTTGTATGTCTGTGTAGAGCAGATAATTGAATGAAACGCTTCCCACATGCAGTGCAGTGATACGGTTTCTCTCCAGTGTGAATCCTCTCGTGTTTATTGAGGTCTCCTGACTGACTGAATCTCTTGTCACAGTGTGAACACTTATAAGGTTTTTCTCCAGTGTGGATCCTCTTGTGTGTTTTTAGATGTGTTGACCAACTGAATCTCTTGTCACAGTGTGAACACTTGTAAGGTTTTTCTCCAGTGTGAATCCTCTCATGTCTTTTCAGATGTGCTGCCTGACTAAATCTCTTGTCACATTGTGAACACTTGTAAGGTTTCTCTCCAGTGTGAATCCTCTCATGTCTTTTCAGATGTGCTGCCTGACTAAATCTCTTGTCACATTGTGAACACTTGTAAGGTTTCTCTCCAGTGTGGATCCTCTCGTGTCTGTTCAAGTCTCCTGAATGAATGAATCTCTTGTCACAGTGTGAACACTTGTACCGTTTCTCTCCAGTATGAACGTTCATGTGCCTCTTAAGGGGTCCTTTTCGTGTGAAGCTCTTCCCGCACTGATCACACGTGTGCGGTTTCTCTCCAGTGTGGATCCTCTCGTGTCTTTTCAAGTCTCCTGAATGAATGAATCTCTTGTCACAGTGTGAACACTTGTACAGTTTCTCTCCAGTATGAACTCTCATGTGAACATTAAGACGATGTTTGCTTGTCAAAATCTTTGCACACTGAGTGCAGGTGAAAGATGTCTTGGCTCTTCTTTTCTTTAAACCTTTCTGTTTGGTTTGAGAGCAACTCCAAGGTTTTTCTCTGGTTTTGATATGATTTTTCTCCTCAACTTCACTCAATTCTTCATTCTCCTCATTTCCTTCAATAAACTCTAAAATAAAAGCAAAATCAGTTAATTTGTCAGTAACTTGAATCCTGAGGAGGTTTCAGCAGGCACAGTTTTAAAGAGGAATACTTCAGCTGCAAAAGGTAAATAATTAAATATATATAAATATATAACGCACAATCTAGTGTTGTTTGATGTTTTACATGTCACGAAGAGTAACGTTATAGTTTTTAGATGTTTCTGTTAGAAGGTTTGCAATGATAACATAACGTCGGAAAAACCATTCGGTCCGGAGATGGAGTGTTGATATCAGATAAATACGGTCTCTTTAGAGATTAGAAACATTGTGATTTTTGATAGAAAAAACTGTTAAGCTGTATCCAGTGCACGATAATGTCAACTAATGAAATTGTACTTAGTTATATTCCAGTTTGCTAAAACTCAGTCTTTCAATTAGTCTTTTTCAACGAGTGATTGCTATTGAATCATATCGGACTGTGCTGGTGGCGCCATAAAAATCTATAGCTACTGGTGGCTCTGATTTAATTCACTTAACCTTTAAAAAGAGTCATTTATTTGTAAATCAAACTACACTGAGCATGCTGTTGTAGCGTTACACCTGCTAAGAGAATTCAATATATGCAATCTGAATTTAATAATATTTATTTTGTGGTTACACTGCCCGTGGGGAGCTCTGACACAGAAAAGCACTATAGATATGTAAGAGAAAGCCGTAAAATGTTCTTGATTTGATGCCTAATCTGTCTGCTGCACTAGAGCAAGCTCTTTAGAGTGAACGAAACTTTTAAAGCATATATGCCGCATAATGTGATTAAAATCACACGTAACATAATTACTGCTGTGGGGATTCGGATTGGATTATTATGAGCAAACAAATTAAAAAGTTTAATCTGAACGCACTTCATAATCTGATATCTTTTTTTTTTTACAGAAATTCTGAAGTGCTGCATGAACTTGTGCATGAACATTCATCAAACAAGTAAGGTGCAAATTCTGGGTCTGGTCCTAATCCTAATGCTTAAGATTTAACAATTACCTTACAATGTATATTTATACATATATTCCTATATTTCAAGGCTGCAATTTGGAAAAACCTTAAGACTAATGCTGCTGAAATGGAGGTCAAGGGGACCATGAAGAGGCGACTCCAACTGGCAGATCATACCGTTTTTCAGGAGGCAGGCACACTGTGAATTTAAAAGTCCCATCTCTTTAACCCTGCATACACATGACACACTATCACATTTCTATAATTCAAATCCCTTAAAGGGAGACACAGAGATTCATGCCTTTATTACACCGTGTCTACACCGGACGCGACACCGCAACAGCTAAAGTCTGTCTACACTGGATGCGACAAAGCGACCGTTGAAAATCATTTGAAATTTGTGTCAGTATGTCATAAATAGAACGCAGCAGCAGTTTACTGTCAGGAATTTGTCTGCCACGCCGCGCCGCATCCAGTGTAGACAGAATAATAGGCCTAGGTTCTATTGTATTTTGTTGCTCCGCGCCGCTGGCGTCCGGTGTAGACACGGTGTTAGAGAGAAGAATATGTTCAGCCCCCTCCCTCCGAAGCTTCGAATATTCGGAGTTGATTACTACCGAAGCTTCGAAGCTCAAAAAATGGTATTCAAACCAGCCCTACCCCTTTCCATAATCGCGAGCTTCAGCTTTCAACATAAATGTAAAGACAGTAAATAAGAAGCAGAACTGGCAACACTTCCCATAATATCTAACATACTTTTAATTTGTAAGAAGAATAACATAAATGCTTATATTAGTCGCTTATATACTGTCTTTCCCTTATCCCTAGGTTACAGTAATCAGCTGATCCAGTCGGTATCCAGACCAGACAGTGGACCTGCACCCAGGAACGACCACAACACATCCCTGAATGTCAGCAGAGAACATGACAACTAGATGACAGATCCCCTGTGAAAAATCATTGATGGCCCCAGCACAGATCCCCAGCAAAGACTACGAGAACCAGACAAGCCCTCTGCACAGACCATTTTTACCAGCTTCACCTTCAGGCATGATGTTTTGAAAGGATGGATTTTACCAAAACTGAATTCAGGATTCCTATCCTGTACTAAAATAATAAAACTCAAAAAAAGGTATTTTTTGTTTTTACAACTGATTTGAAGATTTCTTTGTTCTGGTCTGGGTATATAAGCGAAGTGGCAAAACATTACTGGGCTATTCTGTAGCCAGAAAACCCGTAGTATGTCCACACTCTATACTATGTATTTTCCTGTAGTCAGGTATGCATCCTTTACTCTTAGATTTATCTTTGAGAATTTGATGTCTTGTATTGATTTGATATCTTTGAATTGACTATGTAATTGGCATAATACATATTGACCTGACTGATAATAAATTGTTACATTTGATTTTATTCTGACTCACTCTGAAATTATTTCTAGTAGATTAAAGTGGAGTCTAGTATTACCACAAATATGTGTTCAGGATAGATCATACAGAAGGCTCAATGAATGGAGCATGGGGCACATCATTTGAGACCTTTTTGATTTCTGACTATGGAGCAAGCTAAGCGCGGCAAACTTAAAGGTAGATATTTACCCTGCACCCTCTGTCTAATGGCACTTTTCCATTGCATGGTACGGCATGGTACAGTACATTTTTGGGGGGTTTTCCACTGGGTACAGTACCTGGTACCTTTTTTAGTACCACCTCGGTTGGGGTTCCAAGTGAACCGTACCGTTACCAAAACATGACGTGTAAACTCTGCTGATCACGGATTGGTCGGAGAGAATAGTCACTATCTGCGTCACTGAACTTGTGACAAAAACACAACAGAACCACTAGATTTAAATCAGCACAGCCAGCGAAGGATCGAACGCAACTGTTTTGAACGAGTGCACCTTTTTTTAACAACCAAAAAGTGGCTGTTCCCCCTGTTGAGGAAGTACAGACAGTAGCAGAGGAGTGGATCCAGCAAGAGCTTGATAGGGCGACACGGAATTAAAACGATTTTCAGGAGTCACGGCAGTAGAGGCGGCGCAACTATAACGGCATGTGAATAATCCTGCCCACTCTAAAGCGATACTAAACTGCAGTGGAAACGCGAACCGAGCCGTGCCGTGCCGAGCCGAGAACTGACGAATTTGTGTCCGTGAGACTGTGTTCGGCCGGCTTAAATTCTCTGTGAGATACCGGGTTCCTAGTGAACGAATAATTGAAAGTACGGGATGTTCGGAATAATCAAATATCTAAATTAATACATAATCGACATTTGTGATCAGTTTTTATTTAGAAAGATTGCCTAAATTTTAGGGATGTGCAATATATCGAAATTATCGAAATATCGCAAAAGTATACAGTGGTGTGAAAAAGTGTTGGCCCCCTTCCTGATTTCTTATTTTTTTGCATGTTTGTCACACTTTAATGTTTCAGATCATCAAACAAATTTAAATATTACACAAAGATAATGCAAGTAAATACAAAATGCAGTTTTTAAATGATGATTTCATTTATTAAGGGAAAAAAGCTGTCCAAACCTACGTGGCCGAATCAGAACGAGCTTTATTCACCACTTAAGTGTGCGCAAACACAAATAATTTGTTGTGGTTTTACAGGAACTCTTGATACATATAAACATATATATTTCAGTCAGGTTTCAGGCCTCACCATAGCACAGAAACTGCACTTGTTAAAATGACTTGCGTCAGACCAAGGATGTATCTCATTGCTAGTTTTACTTGATCTTAGTGCTGCGTTCGACACTATAGATCATGACATACTCATAGATCGATTACAAAACTATACAGGTATTCAAGGGCAGGCTTTAAGATGGTTTAGATCCTACCTGTCCGATCGCTACCACCTTGTTCATTTAAATGGGGAGTCATCTCAATTATCACCAGTAAAATATGAAGTGCCACAAGGATCTGTCCTAGGTCCTCTGCTATTTTCGATATACATGTTGCCCCTTGGTGATATTATTAGAAAATACAGGATTAGTCTCCACTGTTATGCTGATGATACTCAACTATATATCTCAACAAGACCAGATGAAACTTCTAAATTATCTAAGCTAACAGAGTGTGTTAAAAATGTAAAAGATTGGATGACCAATAATTTTCTCCTATTAAATTCGGATAAGACAGAGATATTACTTATTGGACCAAAAGACAGTACACAGAATCTCTTGGATTACAATTTGCACAAGTCCGCATCTGGGCCAGAGGAAATTGTGTATGTTTTCAGTATATGGGCCAGTTTTGGGCCGGGGACCCGGCCAGAAATGGGCCAGAATCTCAGCAAGGTGGTGGGCCAGAAACAATTTTGCTATCTGGGATGTTTATAGAGAGAACTATTAAATGTTTGATGAACCACACAATTATCTAACATACATTTATTGTTTGCTGCTCCATCTAGTGTGAAAAAGTGTGAAGTGAAGTGAAGTGACATGTGGCCAAGTATGACGACTCATGCTCGGAATTAGTGCTCTGCATTTATCCCATCCAAAGTGCACACACACACACACACAGCAGTGAACACACACACCGTGAACACACACCCAGAGCAGTGGGCAGCAATTTTTTACTGCGGTGCCCGGGGAGCAGTTGGGGGTTCAGTGCCTTGTTCAAGGACACCTCAGTCGTGGTATTGAAGGAGGGAGAGAGCACTGTACATTCACTCCCCCCACCTACAATCCCTGCCGGTACGAGACTCGAACCCACAACCTTCTCTCTAACCATTAGGCCACAACTTTCCCATATGATTATTATAAACAGCTATATATGATTATTCAACAGCTCTAAAGATTGTTTCTATTACATCAAACTAAATAAAAAAAACTGCTTGAAACTTTATAACTGTCAGTATTATTAAAGCTTTGTAAGCATAATGTACCACAAAGAGTCATTAAAGATGAATGAAGAATATACACCAACCTCCTTGTTCCTCTTGTTTTATTCTGCAGGGTTCTGGTTCCTCGTGTTTTATTCTGCAGGGTTCTGGTTCCTCGTGTTTTATTCTGCAGGGTTCTGG